TGAGGGTTTTTGGGGCTTTGGGGGTTCCCTCAGGTTTCCACAGCAGGTGCTAACTTCCTCGGCCCCAAGTCAGCAGCGCCCAAAGGAAACTAGCTACCACAACCCTAAACCCTAAGCCCTGANNCTAAACCCTGAATCCTAAACTCTAAAACCCTGAGCCTCTAAGCCCTACAAACTAAGTTTCAACCCTAAGCCCCAAGCCCTAAACCCTAAGCCCTGAACCCTAAAGCCGAAACCCCTGCACCAGAAGGCTGCGGCCGAAACAGTTGTCCAGTTTAGGGTTTAGGGGTTTTTAGGGTTTAGGTAGGGTTTAGGGTTTGTAGGGTTTATAGAGTTAATAGGGTTCAGGGTTTAGGGTTTAGGGTTTCGGGTTTCAACCGGAACTCAGGCCACGTTGCCTCTCGACGGGCTGAACCTGTGGCACGCGCTTGTTGCCAACAAGCTCCTTGGTTGAGTCGTTGCTTGAGGGTTTAGGGTTTAGGGGTCGAGGGAAACAAGATCCGTGGTTGAAGGGGCGATATCGAACTTCAGCCTTTCCGATTTCCGAATGGCTACGATTTTGAGATCTGAAGTGGCAATCCTCCACACCCTCCACCTTCAACAAGGAAAAACCCGCAAAGGCCAGATCACAAGCCACAGCCTCGATAAAGTTCATGCGACCCCAGATTGAATTTTTATCGTCGATGCGCTCGAACTTCCTATTTAAACCAGGACCTCGCCACGTCGGGACCTCTACTATGGCATCACGGACCACCGTTTGTGCTGCGCATGTGCAAAACTCGGGGGTTTCAGATGGGTTGGAGACGGCTTTGGAGCTTCTTCGGCGTTTGGCTTTAGAGTAAGCCCCCCAAAGAGTTGGACCATGCTAAGGATGCTGAGTGTTGGGATTCCCTATCTGCACCATAAGGGCTTACTCCAACTTGACTGGCATATACTCCAGCCCGAGATCCTCAACCCCAAATGTTTAAACTCCAACACCAACAATCCAACACCCCAAGAACCAGTAAGCTCAAACCATAACACTCAAATCAACGCCTGCAGCCCTAAACCCTAATCTGAAACCCTCATCCGAATTATGTTGACGGGGGGTTCACCCGGGCATCCGTGCAGGATCAATCCGTTGGACATCACGGCCCCGCGCTGCGAAGCGCAGAGGGCTGGAAGCTGGCCCCTGGGGTTGCAAAAGGTTCTTGGGGGATAGAATCTATATTTAAGGTTTAGGTTTAGGGTTTGGGGATATGTATCGGTTTCAAAAGGTTCTTGGGGGATAGATTTGGGAGCTTCCGACGAAATAAGGGGGTACCTTGTTTTGGGGTCCTTACAACAAGGATCCTATTACATAGGGTACTGTATTAGGGTCCCTTATTTTCGGAAACCCCCCATTTATGTATCGGTTTCAGAAGGGTTTCATAAGTTTTGGGATGTCAGGCTTCAGGGTCAGGGCTTTGCTTGTGGAGTCTCGCATTACGTGCCGAAACCTCTGAGCCCAAACTTGAGATCCCGAATCTTCCATCCTGATCCGAAACTCAACCTTCCCACCCAACCTGAAGGAAGACATGAGCCTACGAGAACACCGATGAAGATCATGCAGTCACATGCCAATCGGGGAGTTTTGGGATGAGACCCGTTCAACCCCTAAGGCCTTAACTGCGCCCACCCCCCCCCACCCCGCCCGGCTCCCACAAAGAAGCCACAAAACGCAACACGCGTTTCGGATTGCCATCCCCTTCTGCTCCCCCAGATTTGCGGCACGGGGGGCGGCACGGGCGACTGGCCCCCACGGCCCGGAAGGTGCCTGATTTCTTCGGGTTCACCTGCATTCTGGCATGTGAGCTGGTTCGACAGTTGCAGGCAGAATGCCGAGCTCTAGCTGCCGAAGCAAGTGCTCGAATCACACAAGCTTCTCTGTAAGTTCCGGAAGGATAAGGCCTTTTTATGACTGTTCGCACTTGTTCAGATCTTGGGAGGATCTCCCTAAACCCTAAACCCCCAAACCCTAAACCCTAAACCCTAATAAACCCTGAGCTTCCATCCCGTCTGGGGTATGGCCGGTTGCAGGTTCCTCAACGAGTCCTCAAGAGAGCTGTCGACGCTGGACGACCGGGCTCACAATGAGCAGCTCCACGGACATGAGATCTGCTCAAGAGAATTTTTAAGGGGAGGTTTAGAGTTTTAGGGTTTACGGTTTAGGGTTTTAGGGTTTTAGGGTTTAGGGTTTTAGGGTTTTAGGGTTTTAGGGTTTAGGGTAAATATCAGTAGAATCGCTCTAAGGTAGCCTCAGGCATGCCTTATTAACGCAGCATCAGGCACTCCTTTCATGTAAGAAGGGTCTGCCCCAACAGTCATTCTTTCACCGGGACCCTTACATAGAACAACCTGACATGGAGTTGGGTTTTTTTAGGGGGTTGAGGCTATCGGTACAGGGGCTTCAGACCCCCACCTTCTCTGCAGGCAGTCGTGCCATCGAGCCCCCGCTGAGAGCAGAGACGGATCTGGAGTTTGGAGGTTTTGGGTAACCTCAAAGCCGCAAACCCATGAAGCCCTAAACCCTAAACCCATGAAGTCCTTAAACCAGAATGTTTAACAAGCAACAGCCGAAGCCTTAACCCTGCCCAAGTGCTACAGCTTCCAAAGCCCTGAGTGCTGAAGACCATACCCCCTCGACCCTGGATCCCCTGACTCTTGACACTAGAACCCAGAGAGCCCAATGCCCCTTAATCAAGGAATATACCTCAAATTATAGGGGCCTTAATATTATGATTTAAGGCATATTCCTTAACTAAAGGGTATTGGGCTCTCTGGGAATCCCCGACCCCCCAACCCCTCAGTCCCTCCGTAGGCTCAAAATCTTACACCCTAATTAAACCTACAATCCCTCAGTCCCTCCGTCATCCCCCAAACCCTTAAAAAGGAAAAGGCCCCCCCCCCAAGAAAAAAAGGCAAAAACACAACTTTGCCCCGATTGTTAGATAACTTCGAAATCCTTAAATACCGAAAAACCTAAGCAGCCGCTCAGGACGTATCTCCTGTTTGACCTCCGCGGGGATCCCGCAGAGCGCAGTGACATCAGCGCATCCCATCCGGAGACTTGCCCGGGATTGGGCTTCTGCCCTCCCCAAACCGTTTGGGTTTAGGGTTTAGGGCCTTTGGGGTTTAGGGCCTTTAGGGCCTTTAGGGGCTTTAGGGTTTAGGGTTTAGGGTTCATACATATTGTTTGGGGTTCGGGTCCTGAGTTTTGTGCGGTTTTGTGCGGGTTTTGACCGAGTTTCGGCTTTTGCTTTCTAAACAATTTGTATTTATCCTGGGCTTGAGGGTCTAGGGTTCAGGGTTTAGGGTTTAGGGCCTTTAGGGTTTAGGGTTTAGGGCCTTACTTCGGCCTTGGGTTGAGTCTTTAGGGTGGCTTGGGTTTGTTTGTGTGGAGCTTGGAGGTTTAGAGTTCGAAGTTTGAGGCTTAACCAAACATTGCGACTCGCCTATGGCTAGAAAATGCTCCTAATGTCCGTGCTCCGAGTAACCCGCCATGAATTTTGAAGGCTCGAGACCCTAAACCCCTAAATCCTAATCCCTAAACCCTGAACCCTAAACCCTAAACCCCTAAACCCTAAACCAATAAACCCTTAAACCCTAAACCCTGGAAAGGAGATCGTCCGATCTCTGCTAGCGGACCTCCGAAAGTATGAGGCGACCGCAGCGCCGCAGGTGCCACCTGCAGGGTTCTTGGATCCCTCAGTGCTGGCCTAGAGGGAAATGGGTTTTAGGGGTTTAGGGTTTAGGGTTTCGCGTTTAGGGTTTAGGGGTGTAGGCTTTAGGGTTTAGGGGAAAATCAGCCGACGCCCCCTGGAGCCCACAGCAGGGCTCCCCCAACAGCAGAGGTTCTGGGGTTCGGCATTGCCAGTGCTTCACCCCAATGCCCTGTTCTTACCCGGTCAACAGAAAGCATTTTGAGGCCTTGTGTCTCAAGCAACCGAGCCGCTTCTCCCGTCACGGAGCAGTCTAGGATTTCGCCGCCCATGTTGCTTGAAACCTCCTCAGGCTTGAGCGTGTCTGTTTCCGGTGGTTTCTACTCGCCAGCTGTGGTGTTTTGGGGTTTAGGGCTTAAGTGCCGAAGTCGTTGGAGCAAGACCCCAACACCTAAATCCCAAACCAACCCCAAAACCCACAAAAAACCAACGGCCTATCTTCGGAGGCTACCGGTGACCCAAGCTGCCCTCCGTTCCGACCACGCAGCGTGGACTTGAGAGTCTGTCTGGAACCCTAAACCCTAAACCAAAACCCTAAACTCCCTAAACCCTAAACCCGGGGTGTTTGAGATCGCCATGCTTGGAGCTTCTGCTTTCGATTCGCAGAGGGCAATTCTATGTTTGGGGTTTAGGGCTTGGGGCTTATAGGGTTGAAACTTAGGGTTCGTAGGGCTTTTAGGGGTTTAGGGGTTTAGGGGTTTAGGGGTTTTTGGGGTTTGGGTTCAAGGTTCTCAGGGTTCAGGGTTTGGGGCTTGGGCTTTGCAGAGTGGGGTTTCAAGATGTCGGCGTTCCCTACAGATGCCTCCGAGGACCTCGGGAGAAGGTCTCCGAAGCCCGGAAAGGTCTGAAATTCCGGGGTTTGCGCGTTGCGGATTTTTGGGGAGCTCTTGCTTTTGGAGTTTCGAGCTCGTACCCAGTACTCCTTAATTAAGGAATATGCCTTAAAGTATAGGGGCCTTCATATTATGATTTAAGGTATATTCCTTAATTAAGGGGTATTGGGCTCTCTGGGTAGGGTTTACGGGTTTGGGGCCATGAAGATTCCGGCATCCTCGCCTCAAATCTTTCATAGAACTTAAATGGGAGCTTCCAAAAAATAAGGGGTGCCTTACTTTGGGGTCCTTATAGTAAGGATCCTACTATTTATAGGGTACTTTTTTAAGGTCCCCTATGGTCGGAAACCCCAAATTACCTAAAACTCCATCAGTTCTAAATGGGTAGTTCTCTAAATTAGGGTCCCTTTTTGGGTCGCCAATGTAGTACGGCACCCTTATAAACAGGACCTTAAAAGGGACCCCTCATTTAGCCAACTACCCAAATGTGTCGAAATCACAGAAGGCCATACTGCCCTAAATTCCTAAGCCCCAAACCGCGAGCACTCAGCCGAACAATCCCGAACCCTAATCCCGAAGCCCTACACGGTTTAGGGTTTAGGGTTAGGGTTTAGGGTCATAGATGTTCGAGGACATTCGAAGTTGCGTCCCTATCTGGGACCTTGGTGCGACAAGCAGGAGATCGTCGTGTGATCTTTGATGGTGAGCGGCGGTAGGAGTTAGGGGGTTGCGTTCTGCTCATGCAGGGTTTCTGGATACCACCAAATCCCATCAGTCTTTTGCCAGGCGACATTGCCATGTCTGTTGAGTGCATGTGGTACAATCGGAGCTCTGGTGTCGGAATAGTAGACGAGGCTTCCGGACACTATATTGAATCTTGAAGAAATACAGCGCTACTTGGAGCATTCTGCTTGCTCAACCGAAGTTGTTAAGTTGCTTCTCGGCATGTACAGCTCCACCTGCCTGCTGTCGATTGGACAGAGGCATGCCGGTCCCCGCGGTTTCAAAAAATCGCGATGAGTTCGGAGCAGACGTCTGTTGTAGCGCCAACGGTTTCAGAGCTCGGCTTCTAGTATTCTAGTATGAGTACTCAATCGCGCAGGTCTTCATTCATTCATCCCACCAGGCTTACATCAAGCGCGATATGCCAAACCACGGCTTCCCCTGCAGCGGATTCGGAATGTAAGGAGATGGTCAGAGTTGTGGATCGGTCCTGGATAGGTCATCTCTGGCAAGGTTTAGGGTTTAGGGTATTAGATCGGCAACCTCGGGCTGTTCTGCAACTGTAATGCTGCCGCCGCCGCTGCTGCTGCTGCTGCTGCTGCTGTTGCGGCTACCGATTTCTCCGAGCACGGCTTCCTGCCTCTATGCAGGGGCGGTTTCCTCAAGCAAGCCCCAGAGCCGTCCGAAGCCGTCTGGCTGCTAAGCATCAAATTGGAGACGAGAGGTCAAGTCCCGACCCGAGCCCTGACGCTGCAGACCCGCAGCCCCAACCCGACAAGCTTAGTCCTTAGTCCTAAGCTTGCAAAGCCAGGGTTTCTGTGGAGCTATGGCACTGAACACAGGCCTAGGGCTAGCAAGCTCGTGGCTAAGTGGTCCTGAAGCAGCATGCTTTCACCCAGCTTAAGAAAAGTCGAAAAGCTTCCTTGCGACGTAAAACCCGCCATAGGCAACATCAGCAGATCCAAGACGGATCAAATTTCACCCTAAACTCCCGAACCCGCTCCTTGGCGTCGGCACAAATTGCGGCGACTCGCGTTGACCGACGACATGGGGCAGCTCGGAGCAACAAAGTTACAGCTTGGCCTCGGTGCCAGCCTTAGCTAACGGTTTAGGGTTTACGGTTTAGGGGTTAGGGTTTAGGGTTTAGGGTTTAGGGTTTAGGGTTTAGGGGTTTATGGGTTTAGGGGTTAGGTAGGGGTTTAGGGTTTAGGGATTAGGGTTTAGGATCTTAGCTAGCCTCGTGATTCCTCAGCCATCGTACACCCTCAGCACCTCGTTTGAGCCAAACTGGTGCACTCTCCAGGCAATCCCCACCAAACGACACGCGACCCCTCAATATTGCTCTGTGACAATCGAAATTCGGAATACCAGCACAAACGCTCGACAGTTGCGAGAGAGAGTATATCGACACCTTGTTCCCGGAGGTGAAACCTAAATGCCCCAATCAAGGAAGGAGGTTTGAGTCGTGCATGTAGATAATCTACTTTCCAGGTCACGATCACGAGCAGGTCCATCCCATTCCAAACTAAAGCCAACACCGAGGGAGGGCTTGCACTCGGTGAAGGCTCCGGTCCATTGCAGTAGCAGTCTTATGATCAAGCACAAAAAGCCCAAACCCACGCCACCGTGCTTCGGAACAGCTCGAAACCCTAGACCCTAAACCCTAAACCCTGAACCCCAAGCCCTAAACCCTAGGTATGTGGCCGGCTTGCTTTGCGCCCTCGGGGCGGCCGTTGCGTTTGGGGTACAGTCGGGGCCCTGGACCTGTCCCAGAGACTTCATCCGACTTCTGGGGGTCAGGAGGCGCTCGTTCCCTTTCAACCGAGCCCTATAAAACCCTATAAACCCTAATAGCCCCATTAAACCGTATAAGCCCTATAAACCCCATAAGCCCTATAAGCCCCATGAGCCCTATAAACCCTATAAGCCCTATAAACCCTATAAACCTTGCTAACCCTATAAACCCTATGAGCCCTATAAACCCTATGAACCCTACAAACCCCATAAGCCCGGTTCGGTCGACAAGTTGCCTGCTGTTGGGCGTAGCGGTGGAGTCCCTCCGACTGAGGACTTGGGGGAGTCTCGTGAAGAGGGATCCTAGCTTCAGGGGTTTAGGCTTTAGGGTTTAGGGGTTTAGGGGTTTAGGAGTTTAGGGGTTTAGGGGTTTAGGGGTTTAGAGGGTTTAGAGGGTTTAGAGGGTTTAGGGTTTA